TTCTTCTTCTTCTTTTTCTTCCTCCTCTTTTTCTTCTTCTTATTCTTCTTCTTCTTCTTTCTCATTCGCCTCCTATTCCTCCTCCTCCTCCTCCTCCTGCTCCTCCTCCTCCACTTCATCTCCTCCTCCTCCTCCTCCTCCTCCTCCTCATCTCCTTCCTCCTCCTCCTCCTCCTCCCTCCTTCATCTCCTCCTCCTCCTACTCCTCCTCCGCCGCCTCCTCCTCCTCCTCCCCCCCCTCCTCCTTCCTCCCCCCCCCTCTCCTCCCTCCTCCACCCCCTCTCCTCCCTCCTCTCTCCCCCTCCCCCCCCCTTCCCCCCTCCTTCCGCCCTCCTCTCCTCCGCGGCGCCGCGGCTCTAACGTTAGCCCCGCCTGCCAGGTCGGTGTGCTCCCCGCCTCTGCTCTCCTCCTCCATCGTCGCCGCTGTCGGATCCCTCCTTCCCCCCCCCTCCTCCTCACCCTCCCCCTCTCTCCTCCCTTTTCCCCCCCCTCCTCCCTCCCCTTTCCCCCCCCTTCCGCCCTCCTCTCCTCCGCGGCGGCGTGCTCCCCGCCTCCCCCCCCCCCTCGTCGCCGCGGTCGGATGCGCCTCGAGGGGCTCTTCTGGGTCCAGGGCCGGGCTTTGTACGGCCGGTGGCCAGGATCGGGCAAGCAGTGGCGAAGCGTCCTGGCTCGCCTTCAGCCCCACCAAACAGTCTTCTAAGAACCTTTTGCGGTTTCCACCACATGTTCTTAGAACAGTATTGGCTGGGACTGTCTTGTTTCAACACCTCGGGTTTATGTTCTAAGAGCATTGTTGTTGTTCTTAGAACTGTCATGGGTTCTAAGAACAGTTCGTGCTCAGGACGGTCGGTCCCTGCTCAAGATCGGGCAAGAGAGCGCACGTATTCTGCGACGCATGCGGCCGCGAAGGTCTGCGAGTTGCCCCCAGCCCCCCGCCCCCCCAGTTCCAGGAAAGAAAGAAACACACAGACACAATTCATCGCCGATTCCCCAGAAAATATTGGAAAATATGGGAAGTGGGGGGAAAGACGACAACCCAATCTATATATATATATATATATATGGTAGCACATGGGGAATATGTTTATTTGTGTGTATTTATGTGTGCGTCCTGGGCCCCCATTCACAGTTGCTGCTTTTATCTTTTGTCTGGAGTCGTGGTCTCGGGGGCTCCCTGGGGCGCGCATATGTCGCCTCTCCGGCGGACCCCGCCGTTCCGATGGTCCTCACGCCTCCCTTTCTCTCTGCGCGTGCCTCAATTTATCCCGCCTTCCTCTCTCACAGGGCTCGATCTAAACGGTGTTCTGTAGATGTTGTTGACCGTTTTCGACTTGATTCCGCTTCGCAGCAAAGGCCGAACGAGGACAGAACGAGGTAATACGAAAACGGAACGAAAACGAGCAACACCGTTCAGCTCGAGCCCTGCTCTCTCATACCCGCTCTCTGCTGTAGTTGCCGCTCCTGCGGATTGGGCGTGTAGGCAGCTCGGGGCGAGCACCAGTGAAGTTTTTGTTTGGAGCACCGGCGGAGCAGCGGCGTGCTGCGACGTCATCTCTTGCAGACTGGTGCTATCGTGGCATGTGTTTCGGGCCGCCCCCGCCAAGACATTAAAAGTGATGATTAAAGGTTGTGTTGTCGGAAGTCATTGCCCGCTTGCTGTCTATTGATTCATGGTGCAGCGAGTTCAAGCACAGCGAGTTGTATCATCTGGGTTCCATCAAATGCAGCGACGATTCAGAGCATGAGTAGTTGATGTAAAAAATGTGGCGCATTTCCCTTCCTTGATTATACATATATACAAGACTGCATTGGTGCTTCGGGCCATGAACCTTGACCCTTGTCGGCGCGCAACCGGCCGGCGGGGCGCGGGAGAGAGAGAGAGAGAGAGAGAGACAAGAAGACAGAGAGCGAGAGAAAGAGAGAGCGAGATAATACCCAAAAGGACGAAGGCTATTTGTTGCCGTTCGCCCCATCGTTGTTACAAGTCTGTTCTATATCACCTATCCCTCATGTTTCCTCTTCATGCTTACTCCTCGTTTGCGAACGCGTCCCTGTTACCGTTTTCAAAGTTTATTGCGTGGCCTCTTCCTTGGAGGGTTGTCTGGGAATCTGGAGAGAGATTTTGGGGACTTTGGTGGTCTTTGAGTGCCTGTTGGGTTCTAGTGGAAGTGCTTGTTTTACCCTTTTGCGCCGCGCCTCCCTGGGCGTAGTCCTGAACCCCGTCTTCAAATGTATGCTCGGCAAGGTGCGACAAGTTTACTTTGGCCGAAGGCAATCGCATAGGCATGCCAAGTTGCAGGTGAATAAGCGAAAGATCATCTTCCGATTGAAGACTCAGAAAACACCACTTGTGGGATAACCAAGTCAAGCATCGTGCATACGTGAGTTTGTGCATGATGTGGACGCAATGCCATCCGTGTGATAGGAAATCCAGACACAGCCGCCCCATGTGAAGAATTGCACCAATCGCACGCGTAGGGACCCACTTCGCAGGTCCGAATCCGCCGACCTCTTTTGAGCCCCAACTTCCCGAGCAATCGTGAGCACTGAAGGGGGAAGCACGAACGGAGGGGGCGGCGAGACCCTGTTGTTGGGCGCTTCCCGGCTTTCTCAGAGGCCCTTTGGACCGTCGTGGGGCCCCTTTGAACCGTTTTAAGGCCCTTGTGGGCTGTCTCGAGGGGCTTTGGCCGTCGTGAGGTTCAGCTGGGTTTTTGTGGGGGCTGTCTCGGGGCTTTCCTGGGGGTGTCTTGGGGCCGTCTTGGGCCGCCTTGGTGCTCTCTTGCGCTGTTTTAGAGTTCTTTTGGGCCGTCGCGGAGCTCTCTGGGGCTGTCTTGGGGCCCTCTTGGGGCTTTGCGGCGGCCTCCGGATCCGTTTTGGGGCGATTCGGGGGGCCTCTTGAACCGTTCTGGAGCCTTTGAAAACAAAAAAAGCGAGTATGGTTAAAAATGCATGCTCCAGGTACGGTACGATTTTGGCTTGTTTGGCGTTCTCTTGAGGCTCTTCGGGGCGTCGTTGGGGGATCTCTTGGACCGTCTTAGAGCTACTCGGGGGCCTTTTAAAAAATGGGCGTTTGGGGGGAGTCTCTTGAATTGTCGTGGTGCCATCTGAGTTGGGCCGCCTTGGAACCGTATTGAACCTCTGTGGGGCCGCCCCTAGCGCGCTCCGCGCGCCAGGGAGGGGGGTCCAGCGCCGCTCCGAGAAGTCCGCGCGGACCTCCGAGTTTTTATGTCTATGCCGCTTTTTGTTCCCCTGGCTGCGGCAGCAGCGGTCTGCGCGCGTGGATGTGGCAGCCGCGCGCTCGTGCCTTGGGTCGCGTCTGACCTGTGGCCGAGCGGAGTCGCGCACGCTACCCAAACATCCAGAAAGCGCTGACCTTGGCATCGCTCGGACGTGTGCATTTTTCCTTCGGCAAGGGCCATCGAGGAGCATCCTCGATCATTTGGCGAAAAAAACACGCACGAAACCAAAAAAAACACAGGGAATGGACGTCCGAGCGATGGCGAGTGACACGGCGTGGTCGCGGGAAGCAGTCTCGGGAAGCGTGGTCTGTCCGAACGGGAGGGGGCGTTGGGAGCGAGCGGAGGCCAGCCAGAATGCAGACAGGGCCAGACCGAATGGTTCTGGGTGCGACGTCGAAGACGAGACTGCAGGCGTCGGGCCAAGCAGGGTGGGCATTTGCATTGGCGCGCCAATGAGCGTAGGAGAATGATTACACGTATGGTCGGATGGGTTCGGAGGCGTTGCACGTTGCTCGAGCATCCCTGGTTGCGAGGTGTACGCATGCATTGTTGTGTGCGCAGGCATTGGGGTGTAGTTGGGCGCAGCGTAGGGGCTTGTGGGAGTAGCCGCAAGCAGCGGACGTGTTGTACGCAACACACGACGGGTGCACTACAGCCCCAGTGCACTATAATGTTTGCGCGCAGTGCGCCGCTGTTAACAACATCGCCTGCGTGCACCACCGTGCCTCTGTGCCACAATGCTGGTCCATACCAAAGTCCATGTGTATGTCATAAGGTTGGTCAGTCTGAGTCAATCTCAATTGCCATCGCCCTGGGAGGCGGCACCGTCATGGCAGGCAGGCGAGGTAGGTTGGCCCTGGAAGGGAGGACCTGGCGTACACGGCATGGGGGACAAAACAACAACAACAACAATTCGTTAGTACTCGTTGCCACAGATCATGATCGCAGACGAATTCGTGTCAAGAGGGCAGACTTTGGAATTTCGCAACATGGCAGATGTCGTCTACCCGTTTGGAAGAAAACGGCCCGGTCTACTCTTTAGGGGCCTCGCCCGCGATGTCTGGATTTGGTCAGGCCACCACGCGTTATCACACTACGTGGCCCTCTTGGCACATCGCGGCTGCTCCGTGCCAGGCGGTCGGCCCAAGCCCATTTGCATAGCAATTGTGGCTGGAGCCTGTCCGGCTCTGGCTCTGTTTGTCTGGCTTTTTCGTTTCTGCTACGTGACCAGCCTTGTTGAAGTCGATGAATGCACGCCTCGTCTGTGTGCCTTCCAGGGACAGCGACGCGCCCAAACATGGCGCATTCAGCACTTCGAAGCTTATGTTTTTAAGCGACCGGTGTAACACATAGTTGTTGAGTTTGCGGCTAGTATTGGAGTTTGTTTGGAGTGCATGAAGTTTTTCCCAAGCCACTATCAAGCGAATTGCTGTTCATGGTAATCGTAATGCCAAGTATTTGAAACCCATGGTGCAATCAACGGTTGGAAAAGTGAGGCTTATGCCAAGGATCTGCGTTTTTGGCGCGTTGTACATTGAATGCATTTGCGGTTATGTTTAAGGGATTTTCCCCACATTTGAGTGTTTGTCTGTTTCAGCATTGCAAATAAGCGTTTCCTTCGAGTTGCCAATCATCGCCATGCCGTCAGCAAACATGCCGCACGTCGCGCGGTCATTGCCAACCATATGATTCCATTCCCGTTGCAGTTTCTGCCTTGCCATAGTGATTTGGAATAGGTTTATGCATAATGATGGGGACATTGGATCCTCTTATTGCGCGCCGCGTAAATTCTCAAAACGTTCGCTCCGTAATCCGTAGCCAGTTTTGCTCAAGGAACTTTTTATACATTTGTGAGACAGCTCCACCCCCTCTGCCTGTCGGCCCTTGAACACATCGCCGGCTCCGGGCCGCGCCAGAGGGCGCGCGTCAGGAATTCGCTGGTCAAGGATGGTTCAGCCAGAGGATGCCAAGGCAAAGACGGGCCCCATCGATGTGTCCTCCATCCCAGTGGTGGCGAAGAACGATGACGGCTTGCTCGCGCAGCCTGAAAAGCCGAAGTTCAAGACGGCTTTGGTTGAGATTTATGTGCCATCGCAGGAAGGAGGCGGCAGCGACAAGATCAGCAACGGCCATCGTTACGATTCCATTCCGATTGCGAATGGCTTCATTAATGCAGGCATGAGTTGCCAGCTGGTGAACTATTGCATCGAGAAGCACGACGAGTTCTTTGCGATTCTCGAGAAGTTCGATGCCATTGTGGTGCGTTGCAACCCAGGGCAGGTCAATGCGGCTGGCGGCAGCCAGAGGAAATTCGATGACGCGATGATGAAGTTGGCTGAGACTCGGCCGGTGTGGCCCACGCCAGATGTAATGGCGAAAATGGGCGCGAAGAAGGCGCTGTGCATGATCAAGGACATGGACATCGGCTTGAAGGACACCCTGGGATATTACCATCCATCGGAGATCGCGGCAGGCTTCAGGAAGACGATCGCGTTCCAGCCCCGCGTGGTGAAGCAGAACCGCGGCTCTGCTGGCGAGGGCATTTGGATCATAAAGCTGAAGTCTGGCGTCTATTGCAAGAGCTTCGGCGAGAGAGAGGCCGCCGACGACGAGATGTTGATCCTGACGGAGGCGTGTGATAATCATGTTGAGGAGCACACCGTAGGAGAGTTCATCGAGTTTTGCGTGAACGGCCGCACAGAGAAGTCTGGCGAGTGGAAGTCCATTGGAACTGGCAAGTACTTTGAGGGTGGCGAGGAGGCTGGAGGTCAGATGGTCGACCAGCGCTTCTTGCCCAGGATCGAGGAGGGCGAGACTCGTTTCATGATGGTTGGCAGCGAGCTGTACCGCATCGAGCACTACGTGTACATGGGTGGAGTCGGCGGTGAGACCAAGACGACCATCTACCAGCCGGACGACCCCATGTGGGCTGCACTCAAGGCGAAGCTGGAGTCTGAGGTCGAGCAGATCATGGCTGCCCTGGGCTTGCCCATGACCGCTCTGCCCTTGTTGTGGTCAGCGGACTTCATCCCGATCGACGACCATGTGGCCTCTCATGTGGTGGGCGAGTTCAACTGTTCTTGCCTCGGGATCTCTGCCTTCCTCGCGGCTCGAGGCAAGGACATGGATGCAGTCACGAAGGAGGACGCGGAAGTTGGGCAGGCGATGTGCAATCTCATCGGGCAGAAGGCGTTGTCGGCCTGCGAGAGCTTCAAAAGTGAGATCGCGGCATTTGGAGGAGCCATATATCCTCATTGTGCTTTTGTTGGTGCATGACATGTGTTTCTTCTCGGTTGCTCTGACTGTTTGTGGCTGAAGCACCCGCAGAGTTTCGCAGCGTTCGTTTCTTGTCGGGTCTTGCCGACCAAAGCTTGTGAGCGTGTTGCTTCCGCACTGCCTCCGTGGAATAGCCCCGGGATTGTCGGTGCTGGTTTTTTCAGCAGTTGTTTTGCCAGCGCCGTGGTCATTGGTTCAGCGTTAGCTTGTACAGGAACAGTCCAATACTTTTGAAGATCGTGTCCCTTTTCGCTTCTGGGCAGCGACGCTGGGGAAGGCCCCTGGTCCAGGACCTGCTCCCTTCGGGGACCCCGCGCCCTCGTGGTAAATCACGCGCCGCCCTGCCGGCCCCCAATCAGAGGCGGACAGGAGGTGTGGCGACCCCGCCCCGTGCGCCTAGGAAGAGACCCACCCTCGCCCTCGCTTGGCGAGTGAGCAGGCGAGTGAAAAAAAGAAAAAAGAAAAAAACAACAAAAAAACCTTCGCTCCGTAACGATGCGTCCATTTAGAGGTTAAATCGTCACTCAGCGCGCAAGCCCTGCACGGCATTGGTGCCACTTTTGTAGGCAAAGACGCGCCTTAGAGAAGCAACAAGGGCGGAGATAATCACGTTGTCGAACGTGTATCCTCCATGTCCAGTGCAATCTCAAGGAACGCAATCTAGATGGTTTCCCCATTCCGCATTGTTGTATTCGCCATGCACGGATTGCGAAGAACGTCAGATCATAAATGTCCCTTCTTGAATGAGACCCGTCTGTTGCGGCATGTGGTGGATGTATATGACGGGGTGATGGATCACAGGCCTCTCTCTCTTACACGCCCGCCCGACCACAATATTTCAAGGCCTCCGATGTTTGAATGTTGGTTCGTTTTCTTAGAGTTCTGGTCATGTCTCAGAGATTTCGGTGTTCTGCTATTTGCCTGCAGCGTTGCTTATCCCAACACTGCGCACAAAGGCCCATTCAGAAGCAATCGCTAGCTACAGTGGTGCACGCAGATGTTGTGAAGCGTGCGTGCCTGATGGTCGAATTACAGAGGCGCTGCCGTGTTACACAGGCGTTGTGGTGCACGCGGCTTTCGTGGTGTTTCCCAGCCTTCTTTGTACTGTTGTTGGTGATGTTTCTCGTGGCATCGTGCTTCTACCACCCCTCATGGTCATTTCGTTTGTCGAGCATTGGTTCGTCAGGTTCATTTTGAATAGTAAGGAACACTAGCCCTTGTCTGCTCAGGTTTTCTCGGTGTTTCAGTGGCGTTTTTTTTATGAGATCCGGGCCCGTGGCCTCGCTGCATTTGGATAGTTTGTGTTGTGGTTTGTTCTGTCCGTTGAGTATGTTGCGTTTATTTTCTCGCGGTCTCAGCGATGCGGGCTTTAGTTTCATTGTTCTTTTCAGTTGACGGATTTCTCGTTGGTTTGTTTTTTTTCTTTTCCGAGTGTTATCGATATGTCATTGCTGTTGGTTTGTTGTTCTCGGCTGCACTTCGCGACGCTTAGGTGCAATGTTGTGGCTGATGATTGCTTCTCAATGGGAACTGTGCGCCTTGGGAACAAACGCAAATGCGGGAAGTAACAGAACAAATCCACAACAGGCATCGTTGAGCAAAAAAACACCCAGGCTGTGAGGCATCGAGCCAACAAGGCACTCGCAACGTGATGACGAAATCCATGGAGAAATCGAACATCACATGCCTTGTGGTTTACCGAGACGCTGCCGTGCATGCGCAACACAGGCGTTGTGGTGCATGCCGCGGCTCCTCTAGTGCCCTGCCGGCCTTAATGTGTATTGTGGCGGGTGATGTTTTTCCGCGGCGTCGTCCTCCTCTTACCGTCCATTGTGATTTTGTTTGCCGAGCGTTGGTTTATCAGATTTATATTGAATTTTGAGGAGCACCAGCCTTGATTTCATTGCCGCTGGTTGCTGTTGTCGGTTGCTGTTCTGCTGTTCCGTAGATTTCCTATCACGTTGTATTCTTAGATTGTTTCTTGTTGTCTGATCCGCCGTACCGGATTCATCTAATGCATTTTAGGGGTCGTGCTACTAGCAGATTCAGATTGTGGTGGCGTTGTTGGTTTGATGCTTCACAGCTTGGAATTTTACCAGACAAGCGCAATCGTTCAAGGTCTCCGAGTTTGCATGTTGGTTTGTTTCCCGAGACTATGCGAAGACCCGAATCGTGACCTGTTACAGTCACAACTTGGATCTAGATTCCGATGTATATATGGACTAAGTGTATGTTTCACCAGCGAATTACCGATCCAGAATGGTCAGAAATATAATCCGCATGCCACCCCCCATTCAGGAACAATCGCTCGCCGCTGGATAGATACAATGGTATACACAAAAATTAGGAAACGCCTTGTAGTCTGTTTATTGCGGATGTTATATAATGTGTGCGGGTTTTGTTGTTCGTTGCAGCGCATATGTACACTACGATTCGCGGTTCTGATTTGGACCTGTTCATGGTCTTTTGGAGAAGAATATATATATACACACATATATATATATATATATATACACATGCACGTATCATCAAACATGCTTCAGGCATGCTGCCCGAAGCCGGTCGATTTTACCATATGACATTGTTTTGCAACGACATACCGAGTGCCGTGCAGGACCATGCTAAAGTAGCACGTACGGTTCTCTCATGTTTTTCCATTCGTTTCGTAATATGTTTATGTGTTGCCCCCCGCCTTTTTTCTGTATCTATTTCAAAAAATCCGGATCGAGTTGTTTGTCATTTCCGCAATGCAGCAGCGGATGACAAAGAGTGTGGTTCAGGTGTTGGTTGTGGTGGGCATGTGTCGAATTGTGTTTATATGATCGAACAGTGATTGTGACTAGAACTGGTCTGGACGTACCTAATAAACGCTGGCCTCCGAATAATATTATTAATGTCGGATTATGACTATGACTACAGCTGGTTCGGGTGAGGCTGGAATATTGTTTATTCGCGACTAGGATTATGACTGTGACCAGACATGGTTCTGGTCAAGGTGGAGACATCGTGACCAGGACCAGTCTTGGTCACAGTTGTGGTTTTGGTTGCATTAATATTATTACGATGTTACCAGGACCAACCGACCCGAACCAGAACCGTGACCAGGACCAGCCCCGGTCACAGTTGTGGTTCGGGTGGCATTGATATTTATATAGTATATATGTATATAATGCCAACCGATCCGAACCAGAACCATCACCATAATCAGTTTTGGTCAAATTTTTGGTTTGGCTTGAACCCTGACCAGTACCAGTCTTGGTCACAGTTGTGGTTCGGGTTGCATATATATATATATATATTATCATATATCATTAGTGTCAATCGACTCGAACCAGAACCGTGACCAGGACCAGTCTTGGCTACAGTTGTGGTTCGGGTTGCATTCATCTTGTTAGAATATGTTCAATGCCAATCGACCCGAACCAGAATCGTGACCCGGACCAGTCTTGGTCACAGTTGTGGTACACATTGCATTCATGTTGTTAGCATGTTAGAAATGCCCATGGACCCGAACCAGAATCGTGAGCAGGACCAGTCCTGGTCATTTGTGGTTCGGGTTGCATTCATATTATTACAATACCACCAATGACAATCGACCCGAACCAGAAACGTGACCTGGCCCAGTCCTGGTCACACTTGTGGTTTGGATTGCGCTGATATGATCAGAAGATGGTTAATGCCAGACGACCCGAACCAGAACCGTGACCCGGACCGGTCCTGGTCACAGTTGTGATTCGGATTATTTCAATATTATTTTTACAAAATCACCAATGCCAGCCGTCCCGAACCGGAACCGTGACCAAGACCAGTTCTTGGGGAGGGAACCGATCGAATATTGTGTGTGGTGTTAGGCACGGAAGTTGTTGAAGACAAGGTCCTACGCTGAACAAAATATGAGTGCAACCCGAACCACAATTGTGACCCTGCATGGTCCACGAGTGCAACCCGAACCACAATTGTGACCAGGATTGGCCTTGGTCACGGTTCTAGAACGGGTCGACCGGCATTAATAATAGTTTAGCAAGATTAACGTAACCCGAATCGCAATTGTGACCAGGATTCGTCCGGGTCACGTTTCTGGTTCGGGCCAATTGGCATTCAGGAGATTAAGATATCATCAATGCAATTTGAACCACAATTGTGACCAGGATTGGTTTTGTTCACGGTTCTGGTTCGGGCCGATTGGCATGAATATTATTCTAACAATATTCGCGCAGTCCGACCCAGAATTGTGAACAGGATTAGTTTGGGTAACGTTTCTGCTTCGGGTCGATTGGCATTCATAGTTTTCTAACAATACGAATGCAACCCGAACCATATGGTTCGGGTCGGTTGACATTTGTAATAGTGTCATAACATTAACGCCACCCGAACCAGAATTGTGAGATGGATTGGTTGTTTTGGCAACGGCCGATTGGCATGATTACAGGAATGTTAATGCAAACCGAACCACAATTGTGACCAGGACGGGTTTTGGTTCTGGCCGATGGACATTGATCACATCATAAAATTATTAATGCAACCCGAACCACAATTATGACCAATTTTGGTCCTGGTCACGCTTCTGGGCACATAATATCATTATAATACTAATGCAACCCAAACCACAGCTGTGAGTTGGACTGGTTCTGGTCATGGTTGGTCCCTTCATTATGAATGTATTCGAATACTGTGTCCTGACCAGAACCACAACCAAGATTGGTCATGGCCACAGTCATGATTGCTGGGCATCAATATTATGATATTAGTACTACTGTACCGTAGCCATGATTGGGTTTGGTTCAGGTATGGTCCGAGTCGCACTCATGTACAATCATTCAATAATACTCATCGTAACTGTGACCGGTCAACCTCTACCAGAACCAACACTTGAACTTCACTGATGACAAGAGTCACAGCGGAGAAACAATGGTGGACGCAGCAACTCGGCAATCGTCTAAGACGCGGAGCCGGCAGGGCTGCTAAGTAATGCGAAGGAAAAGGAGGAGGCAAATTCTCGGCGTGCAGACGCTAGGCCCGAGCGGCTGCCGGGCCCTGCAGGCCCCGCCCGAGAGCCTGGGCCAGCTCTGGGCGCTGCCGCCGCTGGGCCTGAGCGATTGCGAGGCCCTGCAGGCCCTGCCCGAGAGCCTGGGCCAGCTCTCGGCGGACACTGGGCCTGGGCGGCTGCCGGGCCCTGCAGTCCCTGTCCGAGAGCCTGCGCCGGGTCCCGGCTCTGCAGACGCTGAAATTGAATGACTGCGCGGCCTTGCAAGCCCTGCCCGACAGCCTGGGCCAGCTCTCGGCGTTGCCGACGCTGGGCCTGAACGCTTTCGGGGCCCTGCAGGCCCTGCCCGAGAGCCTGGGCCAGCTCTCGGCAATGCCGACGCTGGGCCTGTGCCCCGCCCGAGAGGCAGGGCTAGTTCTCGGCGCTGCGAGTCCTGAGGTGATCTGCCGCCCGGCGGGCCGGAGCCCGCGCGCGCGCGCGCCCGCGCGCCGCCCGCGCATTTCGGGGGGCAAGGATAGGCCCAGACACCGTCGGGCCCTGAAAGATCGCGGCGAGAGATTCTGCATTATTTCCTGGCCTCTGGGAGCCCGCGCCAGGCCCGGGAAGCGTCGAGACGCGACGCGGGTCGAGGCCCCTGGTGGGTCGACGTTATAACCCTCGGCGGCCTGGGGGGGGGCGGATAGGCATAGAGGGGGGCGCGGCGACCATCGACCCTTAATCGCCAACTCATCGTCGGTAGGCGTCTGATAACCCAGGCCCGTCCAGAAACATGCGGATTCACGATTGGGGGCCTATCGCCGATGTATTGGCGATGTCTCGCCGATTGCTGGTCGATGTCTCTCCCCCTACGCCAGTGGCGCCCCCCCGTCGCAATCGCTCCGGATCGGAGGTCGTTGTGGCCCAGAGCTCCGCAATGCCCGGAGGCGACCATAAGGGCGAATAGCCCAGGGGCGGACAGCGCGCGCATTCGCCCAGGGGCCTTGCCGAATGCATGGATCATTGGCGCTCATGGATACATGCATTACTCTCCCCTCAGCTATTCGCCCCCGTCGTCGCCCCCGACACGCGGAGGCGTGGGCCTCCTCCGGCCCCGACCTCAATGCCGATCGCAAACCACACCTTGGCGTAACCACGCGGATTGCGCTCGCCGATCAGGGGGGGGGGGGCCGCGGCGAGGCCCCACGGCGCCGCGAAGCGGGGGGCGCGACGCTGTCCTCGCGGGACTTCTTCGGGGCGCAACGGAGAGGAGAGCTCCGTCGAGGTTGTCGCCCGACCCCCAGCGGCCACGGGCAATGCGCCAGCATTGGCCCGGCCACCCGCACTTTTTTATTGCGCGCCTTGGTGTCTGAAGGTTGCTTCGGACACCACCCCCGCTACGTCGGGTGAACCCACGGCTCGTTTGGTGCTGGGGGCCAACCCGTTGTGTTAGCCGCGCGTTGAGGTCCCAACGGCGAACCTCAGTGCACGCGCTGACCGCGCGCGGAAGTGCCCCGCGGTCAACCGCGCATGTTTTGTCGGACGGGCATTGTTTGCGAGGGTTGTCTGGCAAAAAAATCGCCCGTCTTGCTGCTGTATTCAAGTGCTGCTTCTACTTTAAAAGATACGCGTAGTTTGACGCGGTTCGGCGCTCGGCCTTCCTTCTTGGAACGAAGGCCAAAGTGCAATGGCAACCACGGGGGGCGCCGCGCTGGCGCCCGACGCCGCCCTGTTCGTCGGCCTCGCGCCCGCGAGGTACTATTGCGCCTGAGTAGTGGAAAAAGAATCTTCCACATCCTCTGACGGTGCGCTCTCTCATATTTTGTTTTATCTCGTATCTACCGGCCTAGTCCCCAGCGAGGGGCGACCTATGAAATGCCAGGGCACGTTCACGACATCATCTTGAGCAAGGCATCAGAAGAAACCCGGAGAGAGAGAGAGAGAGAGAGAGGAGAAAAAAAAAAAAAAACAAAAAAAAAAAAAAAAAAAAAAAAAAAAAAAAAAAAAAAAAAAAAAAAAAAAAAAAAAAAAAAAAAACGCGCGAGCGCAATAATCATATTTGCGAGAGGAGGTCACGAAGCGGAAGGGCCGCGTTCCGCAGAATCATGATCTGGAGCGTTGAGATTTGCGATGGCCGCCCCTTGATTGAATCTATTGGGCGGCGGACTTGGAATGCATCGGCAAAGCGATGCAAAGGCGCATTGATGGTGGCAGTCGGGGCGTCTGAGTTGGAAATTCATAAAACCCAAGACCCGCGGTAGCCACGCAACTGCAGAGGGGAGTTGCGGTGGGTTTGGGGCGTGCACGGGTCGCATTCCAATTTTGCAATGCGGGGTGGATATTTCAATCAAACCGGCACTTGTGCTAAGAGTCGGGTTCAGAGCGATTTGGATTTGCCTTGATGGGTGGCAGGCAATATTGGTCGGCATCGGTTCGATCTCGAGAGGAGGTTTTAAGCGGCAGTTTTGACACATATATGTGTATATATATATATATATATATATATATATACACATGTGTCTGTAGAAATAGGTTTCGATTTGGGCTCCACTCGGGGCTGCTATTGCGAAGCGTCATATATATATATATGTATATATAGATGTACGTATGTGTATGCATATATATTTATATATATGTAAAGATATACACACACATATACATACAGACACATACATATATATATATGAGAGAGAGCGTGATCCACCGCCGCTTTACTGTGGAAGATTGCCAACCTTTTCCTCCGGACACCGCCCACCCCCCCCTCCGAAAATCCCCCCCCCCTGCTGGACCCCCCCCCCCCTTCCCCCCGGCAAAACCCCCCCTCCCCTCCCCTCCCCCCCCCCTCCCCCTCGAAAACCGGGGGGGGGTCACTACCGGTTCGAACCCTCCCCCCCCCCCCCTCCGGATCTGGAAAACCGGGGGGGGTCACTACCGATTCGAACCCCCCCCCCCCTCGAAAACCGGAGGGGGTCACTACCGGTTCGACCCCCCCCCCACGCACCGCCAGCAAACGACTCCTGGTCCCTACCACCGTCCGCATCACATCCCCCACTGTTGTTCCCAGCGCCACTGTCCTCACCACCGCTGTCCCCACTGGTTCCACCACCGTCCCTACTGTCCCCACCAGTGCACCCACCACTGTCGCACTGTCCCCACTGTCCCCACCACTGTTCCCACCACGGTTCCACTCTCCCCACTGATTCCACGGCCCCAACCACTGCCCGACTATCCCCACTGTCCCCACTGTCCCACTGACTCCTCCGCTGTCCCACTGAGCTGTCCCACTGTTCCCACCACTGTCCCCACTGTCCCCACCACTGTCCCCACTGTACCTCTGTCCCATTGTCCCACCGCCGTCCTCGCCACCGCCTTCACCATTGTCCCCACCACCATTGTACCCTCCACTGTCCCACTGTTTCCACCTCATTCCCACTGTCCCCACACCACTGTCCCCACCACCACCGTCCCCACCACTGTCCACTGTCCCCCCTGTTACCACCATTGTCCCCACCACTGTCAAAACCCCTACCGTCCCCACAACTGCCCCACTGTCCCAGGGTCCCCACCCACCACTGTCCCGCTGTCCCCTCGCCACTGTCCCCACCAACACCGTCCCACCACTGTCCGCACCCCCATTCGGTTTTCGAGAGGGGGGGGGGTTCGAACCGGTAGTGACCCCCCCCGGTTTTCGAGGGGGGGGGGGGTTCGAACCGGTAGTGACCCCCCCTCCTTGTCATGATGAGCAGAAAAGGGGGGGGGAGGGGTTCGAACCGGTAGTGACCCCCCCCGGTTTTCCAGAGAGGGGGGGGGAGGGGCTCGAATTGGTAGAGACCCCCCCCCGGTTTTTCGCCAGCAGCGGTAGAACACGCTCTTTCACATATATGTAATATAATGTAATATAATATACTATATTATAATATCGTATAATATAATATATTTGAACATAATATAAAATAATTTAATATAATATAATGAAATCTATTATAATATAATATAATGTAACGTGATGTAATATAATATATTGCAATATCACGTAGTACAATGTAATATAATATATTATAGTATAATAGAATATAATGTAATATAGTATAAGAATATGTATGATTACATTTTATAACATAATAGAATGTAATATAATAAAAAAATAATATAATACAATATAATATACTGTAATATAATATAATATAATATAATATAATATATCATATTGTCATATAATATATTATAATATCATATTATAAATATAATATAATATAATATGATATGATATAATACAACATAATATAATATACTACAATATAATATAATATAATATAACATAATATAACATATATATGTGTGTGTGCATATGTATGATAGATCGCGCTCGTGGGGCCCGATAAATTAAAAGGGGGGCACCAGCTTGAAGCTACCCCCCTCCCCCCTTCCTTGCTAAAGGGGGGGGGCTTCCGAAGCCCCCCCCCCCTATCCCCCTTTTCGTAATCCGGAAAGGAGGGGGGCTTCCAAGCTACCCCCCCCTCCCTCCCTCTAATTGAGCCGGGGTGAGCCACCCCTCCCCTTTGAAGGGGGGGGGGGGTTCGGAAGCTACCCCCCCCGTCCCTTTTCGTAGCCGGAAAGGGGGGGTGCTTCCAAGCTACCCCCCCCTCCCTCCTTATAATGGAGCTGGGGTGAGCCACCCCCCCCCTTTGAAAGGGGGGGGCTTTGGAAGCCCCCCCCCCTCCCTCCCTTGCTGCAACAGGGGGGGGGCTTGAAGCCCCCCCCCCCTTCCTCCCTTTGGCCGCCCAGCTCCCGGAGCCATCGCTCTCCCTTTCGCCTCCATTTATTCCCGCCCCTCTCCTTCCTCCTCTTCCTCCGTTTGCCTCCTCCGCTTCCTCGTCCTCCTCATCCCCATCATAGTCATCATCGTCATCATCATCATCATCATCATCATCATCATCATCATCATCAGCATCATCATCATCATCATCATCGTACTCCCCCGCGGATCCTTCCGTTCCGTTCCTCCTCCTCTTCCTCCTCGGTTTTTTTCCTCTTCCTCCTCCTCCTCCATTTTTCCCTCATCATCATTATCATCATCATCATCATCATCATCATCATCATCATCATCATCATCATCCTCCTCTTCCTCGTCCTCCTCCTCCTCCTCTTCCTCGTTATCGTCCTCCGTTTCCCCCTCCTCCTTCTCCTCCTCCTCCTCCTCCTCCCTCTCCTCCTCCTCCTCCTCCTCCTCCTCCTCCTCCTCCTCCTCCTCCTCCTCCGTAGCCATTTTGGCTCAAGCCGTTTCGGCACGAGCTCTTTCAGGGGCCCGTGCTTGTGTTCACGTACTTCGAAGCGGCTCGTGAACACGGGCCACTTCACAAGCGCACGGCGCCTTCCGCTGCAGTTCCCAGCAGTCGCGGATGGTGCCAAACCCGCCTGATGTCTTGCCTGGAGCCAAGACTCCCTTGTGGAGTTGCAGCTGCGGGTGCCCCGACACTTGGGCGTCCAGAGTCAGATGCAGAGGCTGCGGCAAGGATGCCCCTGTGCGAGTCGTCCAGGCAGCTCGCAAAGCATCAGCGGCACTCAAGTCAGGAGCGGTTCGTGGGCCCCGCGGCGCCTGGGCTCAAGGGCCGCCTCCGATCGGACCCAGCAGCAAGGAGATGCGCCTCATTCAAGAACTCAGGGCTGAGGTCGCGCAGCTGGCGGGCAAGCAGGCACCCGCTCGGCCGCCATGGCAGTCCAGCTCTCTTTCGCCGCCGCGGGGCACAACGGGTGGTTCGTCTGCCAGGCTCTCGTTTGCCGACGTGCTGCAGTTCCTCAAGGACGAGGGCGTTGACACGGCGAAGGTTGGAGAAGCAGAGCAGGCAAAGAAGCAGGCTACGGCAGTCAGGCAGCCCACGTCTAGGGCGGCACACTGGAAGGTCGAGAACCTCCGCACCAAGCTCTCCAAGGCGGAGGTGCGTGCGGCGGCCCTGCGCAAGCAGCAGGAGGACCTTCAGGCCGAGATCGCCGAGCTGGACAAGAAAGAGCGTTGACAAGCTCAAATAGGACCTCGTGCAGGCTGAGCAGGCGCTCTTCCGCGTCCAAGCTGACGGTGATCCGCTCAGAGCAGTCACGGCCACGCTGGACGAGGCCGTCGCCCAGTCCGAAGAAGGTCAACCTGCATTGGCCACCCTTCAGCGCCTGCAGGCCGAGGCCCAGGCCAAGAGGGCCGAAGCAAACGGGCCTGATGCTGCAAGTGCTCCTCCTGGTCCTGCAGCTGGCGGGGCGAGCAGCGGCGAGCACATCGCTGCTACGGCAGGAGATGGAGACGACATCGACATGGATTTGCTGGACGGCGACGACTTTGACGAGCGCAGGGCAGCGTTCGACAAGGCCGCCCAGGAGCTCAAGGAGGCCAAAGGAGGAAGTCAGGATCAGCTCGACGCCGCCAAGCGCAAATACCTCGAGGCTGCTAGGGCCATTGGGGTCAAGCGTGCTCGGTCGTGCTCCTGAGCAGGGAGCAGGTGCGAAGGTCACGCCTCCAGACAGAGGCGTCGAGGAGCTGTCCAGCCTGAAGGACTTCCTGAGGTGCAACCTCTTGGACCGCGACTGGGAGCAGGCCGCGGGCTTCGCTGTTCCAGCCATGCGCGACGACCTGCTGTTCGACTCGATGCAGTTTCGCCATCGTGACGGGACTATGATGGAGTTGGACGAGAAGGACTGGCCCGTGCTCGGATCCGCGTTGGCGGGGAGCGCGTCGTCGTATCTCTTGGGCAAGGGAGGGAGGGATTCAGCCCCTCGAAGTCGCACTCCCTTGCCCACATCGTTGATGGCTTCCAGTTCGAGCACGGCGACTTCGGCATCTGTGATGACACCCCAACTGGCCCGCTCCCCGGGGTTGGGGGCAGGTGTGCTGCATAGGCATATTCACCATC